AAGTGGGTGTGGTCCAGGCAGGTGACTACAGGCCAGGTAGAATTATAAGACCTGCTAGGAGAAGGCAAACCTCTGGCTTGTTAAAGGATTTAAAACAACATTAGGTGGTAGGAAGAAACAAAAGATGACCCAAGGTGCCTTTTTTCAGCTTTCTCCTGGAAGACAATTTCATATGAACTAGGGTTGGGAAGGTATGTTAAAATGGAACCTTAAGACTGGCTAGCTTACCACACTGTAAGAGGGCTGAAGAGAAAACAGTTCTTTCTACTCACACTTGGATTAAATAGCCAGAGCTTGCTGAGAAATTCCATCTTTTGCTGGAGAGGGTAGACAGGGGATTCTATCTGATTAGGAAATGGCAGACAAAAAAGGGCAGGACTCCTAGGGGTCTTCTTCCAGGTGACCTGGGTCCTTCATCTTTGTGGGGCCCTGCTTCATACCAGGTGGAATAGTCAATGAGAAGTCTCTGACCAACTCTGCTGAGTCCTTTAGGATGGGGTAAAAGACTGGGAAGGCCTAAGCATGATCCTCAATAGCTATGGAAGAATAAGCCTCAGTAGCTATGGAAGAATAAGACCTATTCTTTAAGGCTATTTCTAGCTCAAATCTCTGAGGTATCCATTTTCCTGCTTCTTTGGAAGGGATAGAAGTGGGGAGAAGAGTAGTAACTTAGCGGCCCATTTCCTTCCTTCTTTGCTGGTCTCCTGTCACAGCTCCTACACTTCTCACATTGTAAGATGAGCTATTTCCCTATGCCTGGGGTTCTCATACTATACTTCTGAGGACTCTGGTTTGTGGGCAAAGACTATATAATTAAAAGTTAAATTTGTCACCACTTTTAGCTCTCCTCCTTTTCAGCCCTGTTATTCCTAAAACCTCTCACTTCCTCTTTTCTTATTTAGCACTGCCAGCACAAACTGCTTTCCCTTCTAGGACTCCATGATCTCCTTACCACTCTCTGTCAGGATTTAGGTGTGAGAGGAAAAAGGGAAGAACCCACTTACCTACTTTAATGCTAGGTTTTGCCCCACATCCCATTTTCAAAAAGTCAGGCACCAAATAAAACCTTATTTATACTTCTTTCCCCTCCTATTTTGAGGCCCCAGCTTTGGCTTTTTTGGGGAAGAGGGTAATGCAGTTTCTTTTTTAGCTGCCTTCCCATTAGAGTTCCTTATCACATTTCTCACATGTGATCCACATGAATCACAAGTGGAACTGTTCAAGGTTGTTTTAGTCAGATTTTTAAAAAAAAAATGTAAGAAGGCCTTTATTTATTTATTTTAATGTTATTTATTTTTGAGAGAGAAAGAGCGTGAGCAGGGGAAGGGTAGAGAGAGAGAGGGAGACACAGAATCTGAAGCAGGCTCCAGGCTCTGAGCTGTCGGCACAGAGCCTGATGTGGGGCTCGTACTCACAAACTAAAAGATCATGACCAGAGCCAAAGTCGGATACTCAACTGACTGAGCCACTTTCTTTTATGTATTTGCTTCTGTGCCAAAAAATATCACCTTTGAGCCTGCCTCTTCTGATGGGGAAAAGAAAGTTGTCTCATTTCTTTTTCATCTTTCCTTTGGACTTGCCTCTATTCCTGAGTCCTAGGAAGGACCAGAATTCAACGTGCCTTCTTTCTATAGAACTATACAATTCAATATAACTTGATAGCCACTAGTGGCTATTTCAAATTAATTAAAATTAAATACAATTAAAAATTCAGTTCCTGAGTTGCACTAGACACATTTCAAGAGCTTAAGTCATATGTAGCTACTATATCAAATAGCATAGATTTAGAATACTTCCATTGTTGCAAAGTTCTTTCAGACCTGGTATAACAGCCTAATGTCTTGTGTCCCCCTTTTTGTAATCTTTTATCAGTCAATAAATATTTGTAATAACTTTCAGTGTTCCAGGATTAACTTTCAGAGGGGGTCAGGAGTTGGGGGTGGGACATAGCATAGAATCTGTAGGTCCTATAAAGATTTCTGGAGGCATGGCATAGGGGCCAGAGGTTGGTGGCTAGTAGAGGAGACTCAGGTTTTAAGGAAGTGCTTTAGGGGTTGACGTTATACTTATTAAAGCAGGGCCACCCCACTCCACCAGGAGCAGGCAGGCTCTGGTTTTGCAAATTCTGCATAATACTTAAAAATCAAAACAAAAAATGACTGCCCTGTAGCCCTGCTGAAGTGATTGTCTTTTATTACTCATCATTTCTAGATCTTGATTTCATACACTGCTTTATCTGTCATAGGCCTTGTTCTCCCAAATGGCAGTGACATATGCAGCTCTGGCTTAAAAAAAAAGTTTGCTGGGGTGCCTGAGTGGCTCAGTCGGTTGAGCGTCCGACTTCGTCTCAGGTCATGATGATCTTGCACTCCGTGAGTTCGGGCCCTGTGTTAGGCTCTGTGCTGACAGCTCAGAGCCTGGAGCCTGCTTCGAATTCTGCGTCTCCCTCTCTCTCTGCCTCTCCCCCACTCATGCTCTGTCTCTTTCTCTCTCTCTGTCAAAAATAAACAAACATTAAAAAAAAATTTTTTTTTTAAAGTTTGCTGACTTTACCACCTGCCTGCCAAAAGCTGGGAGAAGTAGGGGTCATATCAATTAATACACTGATGCTAAGACCGTTTAATAAGGTTCTAGGTAGGTGGGGCTATTTTTCCATTGAACACTTTTTTTAAAAAGATAATATTAATTTAAATTTAATTTTACAGAGCACAAGCAAGCAGGGGAAGGGCATAGAGAGCAGGGGACAGAGGATCCAAAACGGGCTCTGTGCTGACAGCAGACAGCCTGATATGGCGATTAAACTCACAAACCATGAGATCATGACCTGAGCCAATGTCAGATGCTGACTGAGTCATCCTGGTGCCCCACTGAACACTTTTAAACACCTATGTCAATCACTGGCTATAGGGCGTAAGTAAAGCTGCTAATGGCACATCTGTGGATTTGACCACTTTCCCTGAGTCTAGACCAATGATTCTTAACCATGGATGATTTTGCTCCTGTCACCCCTCTCCATAAGACATTTGGAAATGTTGGGAGACATTTGTGGTTGCCACAGCTGATGGAGGGGTGCTACTTACATCTGGTGGGTAGAGTCCAGGGAATGCTCCTAGGCATCCTATAATGCACAGGACAGCCCCAACCTGCAAAGAATTCTCTTATTCAAAATGTCATTAGTGCTGAGGTTGAGAAACGCTGGTCTAGACTACAGTGTGGATCCGTTCTTCATGCCAAGACTAATCATGAGGTCCAGGCTCAGCAAGAATCTATTAAATTGGGAAAGAAAAAAATTAGGAATCAGTGAACTGTGGCCTCCACAAAACTGAAGAGCAGGTATAACTAGAGTGTGTTTAACTGCATTAGGAGGCAAAGAGCTAAGGTCATAGTGCAGTTTAAAGTGAGGGTTTCAGATATGTAGCAAGTCTGTAAAGATGAGGTCCCAGGTACAACCATAGGAGTAGTGAGGACCAAGTTTAAACAGTCTGACTTCTGATACAACAGTCAACAGCTGAACCTAGTAGGGAAAACATTCAATAAATAGATGAATATCTGGTGAATATGGATATACCAGTTTTTCCTCAATGTTTTTGGAACTCATAGCTCTACTTTTCATATACATAAAAATTTCACATTTTCCCTCCAGTGTTATTTAAAATTTCACAAGTATCATGACTAAAAATCAAAGCAAGGGTAATTTTGGAAGGCAAAAATTTATTCAGATGATGTGATAACTATGTCACTGTTAAAAGCCTTATCTTTCTTGGGTGGTGTAGAAGATATAACAAAACACAAGCTGCTTTAACAATACTCTTGTACTGTTTTCTCCCCACAGCTAGATATACTCCACCCGCCCCCCCCAAAAAAGCTTTTAAGATGTAAAGAGAAAATGGAATAACAAATGGAACAAAGTCTTCACATCAGCTTAGACATTTTATATCCCAATTTCTCTAGAGTATTTATCTGGAAGTTTCTAGTCAAAACAAACAGACTTAAAGTTCCACATACTCCTCTTAAAGGAACTGAACCAACCAACAGTTGAAAACATTCTTTATAAAAGCGACCCCAGGTAGGTTTTAAGAACAAGGTCAAGAACAATCACCCAAAATAGTTATGGATATTTCATATTTTTGTCTTGAAATAACATTCAGAAATCTAGTCCTTGAAAGATTGGCCAAGCAAGTTAGACATTTTTAGCATGAGTTTGCTATGTGTAGCTGGATTTTTGGCAAGTTTTGCTTAAAGTATTTCATAATGAGAGTGATGTTGGTGTTTGCCTTTTGACATTTCAGGGTCAATGTATTTTAAGCTTCAATGCATTACATTCTGTCAAAAGTTTTAATTTTTGAAATTTTAAAGAACAAATTCTCTTTAGATGGTGTTCCAAAATCAGAGGGTTATTTTGTCATTGGTGTTTCAAAATTAGTTCTGTCCATAAATTCAGCTGAGTACAGTTCTTTGACAACCAAGGAACCTTAGTACGTAAGAGAAAACACTCTCAATGGCATTCTGAACAGATCTTCAAAAATCAAGGCAAACTGGGATCAAATCTACTGTTTTTCACAAGGGTTATGCTGACAGCAAGGTGAAGATTTCCAGTAGATTATGGGCCAGTCAATGGAAGTGGATGCTTGGTGGGGATTGCTACAGTACATCTTATACACAGTTTTCTTCAGTTCTTGCCAAAAACCCAGATTTAGAACATTCCATTGCTGTAGCACCACCAAGTATACTCGTATAATTTTCTTCCAACTCAGTTCATTTGATACAGCTTCAAAAATACTGTTTTTAGTGGTCAAGTATTACGTTTATGAAACCACCACATCCACAGTTTTTAAAGCTTTATTTTTAAACATAAGCAAAGCACACTTTTTTTTTTTCAGTAGATTCATCTCAACAGCAAAGAAAGATGAGCTGAAGTTTTTAAAACCTGAAGTTTGATATGTTCAGTCATTATTTCAGAGTTAAGACTGTAGAAGTAGATGAAGAAAGTCTGGAATTCCTCAATTTCCTCTCAAAGTTGTGGCAGCACTTGGAATGCAAGGCTTCACAAATTTCTTCATTTTTTTCTCCTTTGCAATTAAAAGGGCTATTTAATATTATGCTTTCATAGCTTTTGGAAGATTGCTGTTAATATTCCAATACTGTCCAATCTTAAAGCTTCAGAGAACTGTGCTTTGCAGAATACTCCACTGTTTTTAATGGCATAAATTTAACAGTGTTTGGCATTGTGTCACTGCCCAACATTTTCAGGTAACTGGTAACTCAACTGAAGAAGATGACCCTATCTTCTGCATCATAACGTGAATAAAAGCCTCAAATAACTTTTTGGCTGCCATCTTTAGCTACCTCAAAGGAGAAAACAGAAAAAGGAGTACTGATGATGGAAGCATCTGGTCCCTCTTGCAGAACGATGAATGATTTTATTGGCGGCAGCTGGGTGGCAGGGCAATACAGGCATCCAGTTGTGCCTGAACCCCAACAAGTGAAATCTTTGTTCATTTCCTTTTTATACACCCATCTGCCGCCTAAAACCTGACACCATTTAATGGTGCCCTTGGTCAAATCTAAATGCTTTTACTTTCATAATCCTCTGATTCTATCTTGAAGAGTCAAGATGAACTCTAACTCATGGGATGGACAAAATGGAAGATGTAAATAAGTAAGCTTTTCAGAGCTAAAAAGCCTCTTTTTATACAAAATTAAACTTTAAAAGTACATTGACCTCGAAACAATATAATTGTCTTGGATATGCAAGAAAAATAGCAGTATAAATATTTAGCATCATACCCACAATGAACATCTGTGGCTACCCAACCTGTTCATATGCCTCATTAATTATAGGCCTTACTCTGAATGTTTCTTGTTCTATCTTTGTATTCCCACCAGCCAAGGAGTTCTTTTATAAATTATAACATTCCCCATATGTGCAATGCTAATATAACTTGTGGAGGGAGAGAGAAAGCCTTTCTCTCCTATTCCTGAAAAATCACTGACCTATTCCTTGAGTCTATGAGTAATAACTCCCTATTCAGTCCCTAAAACTAAAAAGTTTGATCACCTTCAAAGTAGATTAAAAAAATGTGTTGAAGTGGTAGCTGACAAGAATTCACTGTAACCAGAACTGTGTGATGGATAATGCATAATATGAAATAAACCTTTATACAAAAATAGTTCCTTATAATGTTACCTATCATGAGAGTTTTCAGTAAAATTGTAAATTATGCTGCTGGTATATGTTGACCAATGAAAGACAGTAACGAAACTACATTACCAATTACTAAAAGTTTATCATACATAAAATAAAAGTTTTTAACATCTTCATTGTGATTCCTATGTTTGGCAATACCATCTACTTAAATTCTGGTATGTGTTTGAAAATAAAAGTTTTATTTTCTTTTAAATATTGTATATTTTGAAAGGAATTATCCCCAATTTGTTTAACTTGGTTTTGCTGTTTATGTTTTACTGGTATGTTTTATAAATAATTCAAGTTTCAAGTGAGTGTTATCTGGCTTCCCTAGTTGAAAAGACCATCTCTTTTAACTTTCAGTGAAAATTGTGGTTTCAAAATCCTTACAGAAAATTCTAGCAGAGGAATGAAAGGTTACCTTCTTTCCTCACGTTCACTGTACTAAAAACCAGAAGTATAGGACAGAGTTTCTTCTGGAGGCAAACTTTATTACCCTGGGGGAAAGCATGGTGCTAGGGTTGTCCTTAAAGTCAGGTTTGTATGATGAAATTAGCAGTGATTTGTAGTTAAGATTGTAGTGTCTCACTGTGCACTTACCAGTAACCAAATGGAAGGGTGATGATAATAGCTAATGTATGATGCCTTAGGACAACGTTTGTGTTTTGACTGCAACCCAGAGTAAGCAATATGTTTTACTGTGAGACCAGGTATACACAGGTGTACATATAATTTAAAGCTTTCATAAGACAATGTTTACCTTACTATGTTCCATGAACCCTGATATTTTCTGTTTAATTTTAAAATAATGCTGGGCATGACACATTTATTTTAAGACCCACTAATTGGTCAAAATCCACAACTGGAAAACCACTGCTGTAGGAGAACATGAGGAAATAGATTTTACAAACTGTAAAGCACACTGAGATGTGAGCAGCTGCTAATGAATATCCAAGATAAGACTTTTGGGGCCTGAGATATCCTCTCCTTCCTTGGGTACTGCTAGAAGTCACATTCACCTAGGCTTTTGGTAAGGAAGACATTATTTATGTGGTCATTGAGATAACTCTCTACTACTCAGGTCAGGAAAGCAATGTATTAACTAAATCAGAACCCAAAGCAAAGACAAATTACAGGAAAATCAAATAAAAGCAAACATCTGTTTAGCGCTTCACGGTTTATAAAAAACTTTCACATACGTGGTCTCTTTTAATTTTAACAAGCCTAGGGGAAAAGTAAAGGTAAGAGGTGGAGACCTGCCCAAGTTTAGACAGTAAGTGGCAGAGCCAGGTCATCTCATCCTAAATCCCTCACTCCTTTCATGATAAAATACCAGGAAAGGAGAGTGATTAAGGACATGAGACTTCTTTTGATCCATCATAAAGATGTTTATGTCCTCTGCCTCTCTCTACAGGGAAGACAGACCCCACTGAAGGTGAGGAAGCAACCTCAGATTTTGGGAAAGGGGTATGGCCTGTTGCACTTAGTCTATGACTCCTACCTGGCATTTCAGCCTACCAAAACCAGCAATGTTTGTGTGTGTGTGTTTCCCCAGTCATCTGTTTTGACACTGCCTGTGCTCTGAGGTTTCAAATGTCTATTATGGTTCAAGTACTTAATGGCTTTCCATTCCTATGTGTTAAGGGTCTTGGAGTCTTGGTCAGGTACACCCTCAGTACTCAACAGAGTGAAATTTGGTACTAGGGACATGCCACTGATACTCAGATTGAAAGGGAATAACAACAGTGGTCAGCTTTGGTGCCTCCGCTCAGCTTCCTTTGGGGAAGCCAATCAGCCTCAGCCATTGTGTCTCTTGTCCACATATGCCCATCTCTCTCCACTACTGTGCCCTTATCTCTCACAAAAAAGATTCAACTAGCAAGTATCTGCCTCCCAGCTGCCCTTGTTTTTCTCTCCACTCCCCTCACCCCCCCATTCTCCTATCCCCCTTGTGCCTCTCACCTTGTACTCCTGCACCACCTCCTCCATTGGCACCACGCTGTGTTGTTTGTGGGTCCTGGATTCTCGGCACACCACACAGATAGCCTCTTTGTCCACTTCACAAAAAAGTTTCAGGGCTTCCTGGTGTTTGGAGCAGATGCCTTGATCATTCCCCCGACTTCCTCGATAAGGAGTGGGGCTCATCTGGCGAATTATCTGGACCATGTTGGCCAGCTGCAAGTTGGGACGAAAGCTGCGACGCTTAAAGCTCTTTCGGCACTGGGGACAGATGAACTGACGTGGAGGGGGCGGAGGAGGGGGGGGAGGTGGAGGAGGAGGAGGCAAATGGGTGTCAGGATACAGCTCTTCCTCGTCCTCGTATTCTTCCAATATCTCCTCTTCTGGGTAGACGTCAATTCTCAGGTCATGTCTCAAGCTGCCCAGGTAATAGTCCTGATCTTCCTCCTCTTCTTCCTCCTGGTCCCACACATAGTCCATGTTGTCCCAATTCCTGACGCCACCGTCACCAACCCAGAGTTCATCTTCTTGGTACTGGAACACCTCGTCAGCACTGCCCTGGTACAAAACCTCTCGAATAGAGTTGTCCCATCCACCGGTGGCCCCCTCTACATCGTCGTCCTCGTCTTCTTCCCATCCATCTTCTTCCCCGTCCCTGTCTTCCTCATCTTCCTTGCCCCACAGTTGGCTCACACATCCTCGGCAGAAGTTGTGCCCACAGCCTATGGAAACGGGATCCTTGAAGTAATCCAGGCAGATGGCACACACCGCTTCCTCCTGAAGGGTCTGCATGGGGTTAGGAGTAGTGGCACAGCCAGCCATTTTAATGCGCAGCCTGGAGGTGTGGATGCGTCAGCTCCGAGCTGAGGAGCGGGGAACGTGTCTGCAGGCTACGTGTCCAAGCTACGCTTGTGACCCAAGGTTTTTCTCTACACTGCTCTTCCTCCTCAGGCCGGCAAAGGAGTCTTACTCCCTTCCCTCAGGCTCTTCCCAGCTCAAGGCGCGAAAGCCCTCTAGCGCTGACTCAGCCGCCCTCCAAGAGGAGCGGGAGCGGAACCAGGCTGCAGCTTCCACTTTCCTTCCAGCTTCAGCTTGCAAATCCGGGCCCCGACACGTTTCTTGCCTCCCTCCAGGTTTGCCCGACCCAGCGGCGTCCTCCTCTGGTGGCGGCACTCCCCACCCAGCCCGAGGCGACCGAAAATGACGTAGGCACTCTAACCCACACTCGGAAAGGATAGACTGAGCCAATGGAGGACTATGTTCTCTATGATGCCCCAGGGGACGCGACAGTTGGGAGCCCTGACGGCCATCCAGCCGGTCCTGATAGGAAAGACGTGAGAATGGGCAGAGGTGGAAAGAGAATCAACAGACCATTACACCGCTCCACACCAGCCAGACACAGAGTGTCCAGCAGTCCCTCAGCCGAGGCAGTTCCCCGGACACGGACCCAAAAGGGTGGGGAGAGCGGCGTCCAAACTCGTGCTCTCGTGCACTTTCGGCCCTTCTAGCCTGAAGCCTTTGTGGTAGTGAGAACGCCCTCTCCACGGAGGCCACGCTCGAGGGTGTGGCCTGCAAGAACGCAGTGGGGTGGTGCTTGCGGTAGTGTGGAGTGGCTGTGAAATCAAAGATCTCGCGTGGGGACTCGTATACCTCCAACGTTTTTCCTCAAACCAATTAATCCCTTACTACCTGCAGAGCCTCGGCTTTCTAGCTCTCATCTCTCCCGTTACGACTTCTATGTCCATCTCCACTGTCCCGCAATTTCTCAGATAACCTCAGACTCAGCATGCCCTACGCTGACTTATTCTATAGATCTTTTTGTCTTCATCAATAATGCTTCCATTCACCATCCCCTCACTTATCCATGCATACATGCATGCATGAATACATCCACCCATCCACCTGCCCATTCATTTAATTAATGTCCATCATTAATTCATTTAATTCATCCATCTATCACATACATGCATAACCCATCCATTTATCCATCCACTTTATTATAGGAACAAAAACATGAGTAAGGCATGATCAGTCCCTTCAAGGTGTTCAGAGTTACAGGCGTGTGGTTATCCTTAACCCAAGGTTTTTACAAGGTTTGTTTTTCTTTCTTTCCTTGGCCCTCATTAAGAAGTGCATTGCACATGTTAATCTAATACAGACTTGCACATATGTAACAGAAATAAGATTTCTGAAAATTGTTCTTTCCCTTATGGCAGTCAAGGCACCCTGATATGTTCTATTCTATTTTGCTTCGGTAAAATGCTGTTCAAGATCCACTGGTATGATTGCACCCCTCACTAATTGGTCACTATTTGGTTTGAGGAACACCACCTGCCCTAATGGAATCTTCAAGGCACCCTGGAACCCCTGCTGTCCCTCTCTGAGCCCAAACTTGAACTGTAAATTCTACAGAGCAGGGATGGTAAATGTGCTGTTAACATTGTACATGCAGCTCATCTATCATAATGCTGAACATACAGCCTATCTGCTGAATAAATAGTAAACAAACACAACAAAATGCAACCATCAAGTCCTGCTGATTTTTATCTCCCCAAACCTAGGCCGATTTCTCTATCTCTTCCTGTCATCCTAGATCTGACCCTATCAGCTTCCAACTGGATACATTTCCTAAAGGGTCATTTGCCCTCATTTCAGTCCATCCTGAAGCCACCAGAACCATCCACCTGAAATGGAAGTCTGACACACTCATGCTAGGCTGTTGGCCTCTATGTCTTTGGGCATGTTCTTCCACCTGGAAGGCTTTTGTTTCACTGGTTCACCCAGATATAGCTCCTTAATTATCCTTCAGGTCTTTGCCTAGGCATAACCTCTTGAAGGAGATGCTTCCCTGAGGCTCGTCCCAGACTGTGTTAGCACTCCAACTCTGTCACTTAACTCTGTGTGTGACTTTGGACTAGTTTCTTAACAACTGTGCTGCTATATCCCCATCTGCAAAATAAAGTTGACAGTAGCACACGTATATTAGAGTTGTTGTGAAGTTGGAATAATTGACATCTGTAAAGTAATTGGAACAGTGCCTACTGGGCCTATCTTTGTATCCCCATCACCTACTATTATATGCCCTTCCTGTAGTAGATGAGCCATAGAAGAAAGTCCTCCTCTTTGAAGGGTCAGGAGATTGGGACCCTGTGGTGAAAAATATCCTACTGCCTGTCGTTTAGTGGTTTGGAAAACCTTATGTTTGGAGAGGGAGGGAGTTGAAACCCAGGCCTGGCCTGCCTACAGTGGGGCATCTATTGGTAGTGTTTATTTGTTAGGAAACTAACAAGTAAATTCCCAGTATACAATCTGGGAGCCTTCCTAGAGGTCATGACCAAGCTGAGGAGCCATGAGGGGAAATCTGAACAAGAAGAACTGAAACTGCATTTCAGGGCTGAAATACTTACCCATCTCTGAATGCAGGTTGTACCCTACACATAGAATGGTAGGGGAACAAGCTGGGGAGTAGAACAAAAGAAGAGGGGGCTGCTCAGAGTTGCATGCTATTTGGACCCAATCAGCCATGTGCCCCTAGCAGAATTTTTAGGTTGGAGAAGCCCACACAAGAGTTCAACTGCAGATAATTAAATTCCAGTTCATGGTGACAAGGCAAGCCCTTGTCACAGACACTGGGGACCATTTGTCAGAAGTACTAGAGAGGCAGTCTAGCATTGGTTACGTTGCCGGGTTGACAAATCTGGCCCTCAGTTTCTTTTTGTAAACCCCAAGAAGTAAGAATGGTTTTTAAATTTTATTTTTTTTTAATTTTTTTAAATTTAAATTTAAATTAAAAAAATTTTTTTAAGTTTATTTATTTTGAGAGAAAGAGTGCAAGCATGCATGCATGAGTTGGTGGGGGTGGGGCACAGCAGAGAGAGGGAGAGAGAGAATCCCAAGCAGGCTCCACACTGTCAGCACAGAGCCCAAAGTGGGACTCAATCCCACGAACTGTGAGATCATGACCTGAGCTAAAATCCAGTGTCAGGGGCTCAACTGACTGAGTCACCCAGGGCACCTCAAGAATGGTTTTTAAATTTTAAAGGAGTTCAATAAAGATGAATATGTGGATGGAGACTATATGTGGCCAGAGAAATCTAAAATATTTACAGAATATGTTTGCTGACCTGGGCTAGGAGGCATGGAATAGAGGATCTCTAGAGTGTCTTTTGATGTGATTCTGGCTTGTTTCTCCCCTCTGGGTTCAAGAGCCAGACTCTTTCCCTAGCACTCCCTTCTTGAGTCAGATTACAAAGGACCTAGCTGGACAGGTGAGTGTGACCAGTAGGTCTGCCTTGAGTCTGGTTGTGGGTTTGTGGGTGGTGTCACTGTTATAGACTCCAGAAATACTGGTAGTTCTTTCACTCCCCTCCACTTGAAATGTGACATCCATACAGAAATGCACAAATCATAAATTTATAGCTCCAAAAAAATTTCAAAGTTATACATTGAGAACAAGAAATGGGCATCCCCAGAAATCCCATGTCCACTTCCACTCATTCCCCATAGCAGGCAAGCACTATCCTGACTTCTGTAGCCATGGATTAGTTTTGTCTTTTTGTGAACTTCACCAAAATGGAACATACAATGTGTGCTTTTATGCTTGGCTTCTTTCATTTTACTTAATGTCCAGGGGATTCATCCATGCTGTTGTATGTAGTAGTAAATTCTTCATTCCAATTTGGTATAACTGCTCCATTGTGTAAGTAGAGCAAATTTGTTTACCTGTTCTTCTGTTGAGAGGCATTTGGGTTGTTTCCAGTCTGGGGCTATTATGAACAGTGCTTTGAACACTTGAATCTGTCATTTAGTGAACATATGTATGGATTTTCTTCTTCTGGATGTAAGATTTAGGAGTCAAGTTACTAGGTCAGAGGGATACATAGGTTTAGTTTTGAGTACATCCTACTTAACTGTTATTATTTAAACCTTGGAATTAAGAGCCCCCTGCACTTTGGTTATTTCACTGGGATGGGTGGGGCTGGACCAGAGTGGGACACTGAGGCTGAGTGAGAGGTAGTAACTAGGCCTCTGGAGTGCTACCCCAGGCCTCTCCTTGCTGGCACCTCCCCAGAGCAGACCAGGTCAGCTAGCATGAGGTACCAGTCCTCAGGCAGCACACAAAGTTAGGGATCTCAGGAGCAGCCTGTTGTCATTATCAGGAATTTTAGGGGACACCTCAAGCTCAACCTGTCCCCCAACTCATTTCTTTCAAAGGGCATTCTCTTCACCTCACCACCTCCTTTCCAGCTAGCCTTTAGAGTTGAAGACGATGAGTGCCAGGCACCCCATTTCCTGATGGGGACAGATGCTGGATGGAAGACATATAATCCAGGACAGTTCCCCTGTGTCTTCTCCTCTGGTGTCTTGGTGGGGAAGATCAGGGAGCCTGTGTGGGTAAGAATCCACCCTCCCAACCCCCAAATCCCCATCTGATTCATGGTCAGGTCTAACTTGGAGCCTGCAATATTCTCCCTGCTCCCAACATTCTCAGACACTCCCTAGCTCCCTCCTGCTGGCTGTTTCTTCCCAGGCAAATGTCTCAGGAGGTGGTTGCAAGGACAGATTTTGCCTTCTGAGCTTAGTACTCTGTGAAGGGAAAATGAGTTTTGGCACAGCCTTCATCTTCCTTAACTCAGGCTCAGCTTCTCCTCCATTTTCACTGCAATGCTTTGGCTCTCTGGATCTCTCCCTGTCCTGGATTTGCTCTAGCATGTGGCTCCGTCAATGTGGCCAGGAAGCAGGACTAGAGAAACCTGAGGGTCAGCCTTTTGGCATAGGGCAGACTGGCAGACTGACTCCCTTTTCCCTAGCTGTTTGTCTTGAGGTGAAGCTGTGTGATTCCATTCTGGAACTTCCTATTCAGTTACGTGGCAGTCTAGGGGCAAGGCTAAAGAGACACAAATGAAACAGCCTGTGTCTTCAATCCTCTTCTGTTTACATTGGTCTGTGAGCTTCTTCAGGAAGTTAGGGGATTAAAAAAAAAAAAAAAAAAAGACTCATCCAGGACTGGGCCTTCCTCCTGGTCTTTGTTGCTGGCCAGGCCCTGACTGCCTGGACACACCCGAGAGACATGTGCTGTGGGCATCATGGAACCTCAGAGCAGGGATGGCTAGGAGGGCTTCTGGGAGCATGACCTGAGCACAAGTCTCAGAGAATTCCTGGAGGCTGTGGGGAGAGTAGGTGTGGCATTCTAGGATTGGAACATTGCAGTTACTTACAGGACTGAGGCTGCAATGGGGATGGCCTGTAAGGAAGCCTTGTATTTGGTGGACATAGAAGCTAATATTCATCGAATACTCATAATTTATTATTTATTAATCAATGCATTCATTCATTCGAATCATCACAAAGCACAATTCCAGGCCACACTGAATTCTGCCCTAAATATGGTGGTCTGGAAAAAGTCGTGGTTTGGGACTAGAGTCCAGAGGGTTAGCAGGTAAGATCTGTGTCAGTGGAGGGGTATCTCAGTGCAGCCTGAAGACTAGAGAAGTCTGATGTAGCATTCCTCCCGTGGGGAAGATGTCTTGGCCTCTGTGAGTGAGGGGATGGCCTGTGGATGGAGATCCCATGGTTCTGACCCAAGGCCAGGCCAGTCTGGGCTGAGAGAGAGAAGCAGTTCTCAGGAGCAGCTAGTGGAAGTATTGCCCTGCTGGGTGAGAAGGTTGCTTTTCCTGTGGGTTTGTGATTTTTTGCAAAGCTGTCTTCCTGTCCTTGCCAGATTTGTAGGCCCCTTTACTGCTTCCAAGTGTGCTTAGAACCCTCCTCACTTGCCCTCCTGCCTCTGTCTACTCCTAAGACTGTGGTAGTAATCAGGGGGCACCCAGGGGAACACTTGGGACTCAGATGAACTCCCTCTGTGTTTGCCTTCTGTCCTCTCACGAGCTTCTCTCCAGGCAGGAGTGGCTGAGGAAAGAACCAGGGAGGTAGGCAGGCAGGGCATCTAGGCTGGTCCTGCTGGGTCCAGAGCCCCTGTCTTTTGGTTGAGATCACTGACCAGCCATTGCTAAGCAGAGAAACAAAAATGGGAGAGGGAGCAAGGCCTGGGTTAAGCAAGACCACCCTATTTTCTGGGCCTGTTCATCCCTCTGGGGAATTAGACTCGGGACTCCCAGGTTCACCTCCTACCTGGCCATGAGGTGCTGGTGCATGTTCCTTTGTCTCAGGTTTCGCAGGTGCACTGGACTATGCTTGGGGTGTGGGTGGAAGAGAAAGAGAGCTGTGCACTGGAGAGAGCTGACATCCTGGACAGGAAGGACTCTAACATGAGAAGCAGAAAGAGGTGGCATGATCATGGGGTTTGTGGGGGAGAGTGTGTCAAATTATCAGGGGCTTGTAGGGTGCTATATGGGGTTCCTTTAGGTCTAAAATTTATTTTATGGTTCCATGGGCAAAACACTGAACTAGTCTGTAAAGGAAATATGATTGAAACAAAATAAAGCTGAAGGATGCTCAGTTGCCAAGATCTCATAATCCAGTTATAGAGCAGATACTTCCTGAAGGTCAGAATGGTGGTGCCCTTGGCAACAAGAAGATCAGATTCTTTCAGGGGTGTGAACTAGAAGTTATTGGGTTAGTAGGACTCAGGAAAGGGGAGAATAGCCCCCCCCCCCATGTTAGGGGGCAGTGTAGTGGCCACCCCTCTCCTCAAGATATTTTTGTCTACCAGGCCCTGTCCCCAGAGTCCCAGGTTCCCATGCAGATGTCAGGTTCCCAACTACCGGGAAGGTCAGGTAGGTGGAGGTTGAGGAAGGCCATCAGGAAAAGGAAGTGAGGTGAAAAAAAGGAATGGTTATCTAGGGCAAATACAGACAGCATAGCCCAAGCCCTCAGGCAATTTCTAAACCAAGTAGCCAATGAGGCCACTCTGATAAGTGGTGACCCTACCCTTTGGGTTGTGGCAGGTGGCTGGGGCTCTGCTGCCATCCTGTAGGCACTGTTCTGAAACTGTATCAGTCCATGGCCTTTCTGCCCTCTCTCCTCATCAGAGAGATGGTCCTACAATCCTGCAGCCCAAGAAGTTCTCAGAGTTCTGCACATAGAGATGCACAGAACTGAACAGGAAATTCTAGCCCATTCTGCCCAAGGCTCACACTTATAGAAGCCAGTGTCAGTGGGATGAGTACCTCGTCTAAGGCTCCCTGAATTTACAAACCCTCTGTATCAAAGAAGCCACACAAACTGCTGGTCTAAGGCCTATGCTTTACTAGGCAGGACCAATGCTGGAGGATGGGGTGGGTAAAGTTAGCTGTGGGTGAAGGAGCCTGATGTCTTTGGGGGTAGGGGGACAGAAATGTGACATAGCTATACTAATTCAAAGTGAGACTGACTGACCAGAGCCTCCTCCCATCTGCTTCTCCACAAATACACTGGGCCCTCATGCTCCTCAGGGATGGAGTTTTGACCTTTGCTCTGGAGATCCTAAGCACATCTTCAAAGGCCAGCACAGGCACTTGTGCCTTCCATTGGTGTGGGCCAGACGCACCTTGTGCCTCAACATTTTCACTGTACAGACAAGTGTAAAAATAAAATATTTATTATCACAAAATCTTATTAATACAGGTCCACAGCCCTTACCTGAAACCCTGGGGGCCAGATGTATTTAAGAATTTAGAATTCTTTGGGCTTTAGAAAATGCCAAAGTACAGATGCTGAATGTTACATAACATCTCCAGAGTTTGTCTGGGGCACCACTCCATAATCAACTATATCAATATATCTGTGGAAAATTGTGAAAAGGCACACTGGCCTACAAATAGCCTCACTTCACTTCAGGTTGTGCCAAAATAAGGAAGGAACTTCTGGTTTTGGGTTAGGATTTTCACAATTGCAGATAAGGGATTGCAGATTTGTGCTTACGTACCCATTTACAGAATGGCACAGATGTCATTGAGGTTTTTGGTGCAGTAGTGAAGTGCCCAGACTGTAGCCACAGACTTCCTGGTTTCATGTCCTGGCTCTGGCACAAACCAGCCATAGGACCTTGGGCTTCAATGTCTTCACCTGTAGCACAGGATTATTAATTCTCCCACACAGGCGTGTTATGAGGATCACACAGTTTAGTACATGTAAAAGTGCTCAGAACCAGCACAGCATGGATCCTGATGGCAGCACTAAGACAGGCAGACAGACATTAGAGACACATTTTCAGTGCAATCACATAGTTGCAAGCTCACTGCTGAGGTTCTTCAGGCTACCAGGGCAGGCTGAATCTGTCTAGTATCACAAATCTTTCACATCCTTCAGCTTGGGGCCTCCCAGGGCTGCAGACATGAAGATTTCAGAAATCCCCACAAGAGGCTTAGTCATGCCTTGGGGCTCTACAGAGAGGCAGAGGGTGCCCTGTTAAGGGCCCAAGCTTGTGTCCTTTATGCCAGTGGAGTGGTCCCTCTGCTGTGGCTCTGGAGTCCTCTCCCTTTGCACATCTGCTGGCCGGCCGTGAGACTTGAACTGCTCTCTGAATAAACAAAAATGTGTGCTCCCCAGGAGATTCTTATTTACAAAGGAGACGTAGGGTTTCTGCTATACTGAAATTCAGAGAAGGAGAGGCTGGACCTTCCCAGACACATCCTTAACAAGAATTCTTAACAAGCATTTCCACAGGACATAGTGAAACTTCTCTTCCCCTTATTGTAAAAGTAACATGTACTTATTGTAAAAATTCAAACCATTCAAGAGGACAGGATGGAAAATGCTGACTGTATTGTTTTCCATCCTTCAGCTGCCCTGGGCTAACAGGTCCCTGGGCACCTGTCCCTTGAACTTCTCATACACACAAAGTCAC